CGGGCAGCACTGCCTCTGCCGTGTCTCAGGAGTCACGGTGTGCTGTGTGGGTCAGCTGGCAGCACAGCCTCTGTCATGTCTCAGGATTCATGGTGTGCTGTGTGGGTCAGCTGGCAGCACAGCCACTGCCATGTCTCGGGAGTGATGTTCTGTTGTGCTGGTCAGCGGGCAGCACAGTCACTGCCGTGTCTCGGGAGTGATGTTCTGCTGTGTTGGTCAGCTGGCAGCACAGACTCTGCCGTGTCTCAGGTGTCACGGTGTGTTGTATGGGTCAGCTGGCAGCACAGCCTCTGCCGTGTTTCAGGAGTCACGGTGTGCTGTGTGGGTCAGCTGGCAGCACAGCCTCTGTCGTGTCTCAGGAGTCACGGTGTTCTGTGTTGGTTACCGGGCAGCACAGCCCCTGCCGTGTCTCAGGTGTCACGGTGTGTTGTATGGGTCAGCGAACATGAGAGCCCCTGCCGCCGTGTCGTGTCGTCAACAGGAACATACGTTCTGTCGACAGGTACAGCCGTTTTGCCGTTTTGTCAGGAGGTACAGCCGTTCTGTCGACAGGTGCAGCCGCTCTGCCGACGGGTACCGCTGCTCTGTCAGCACGTACAGCCGTTCATTTGACAGGTTCAGCCGTTCTGTCATCACGTACAGCCGTTCAGCCGACAGGCACAGCCGTTCTGTCGAGAGGTACAGCTGTTGGTCGCCGCGGGGACCGCTCGGCCCCAGGCTGACGGCGGCGGCAGCGCGTGAGTCCATTCCTCAGACATTTTGTTTGCGTTTATCCAGTTTTCTGGCTAATCACTGCGCTGTACACACTGGCTAGAAAATGTAAAATTTGGCCATGTGTGGAGTAAAAAGCGTCACGTTCGCTGTACGAGACAAACGGAATCCTAACGGACGCGACGACATGCGAAGCATTGCGTCCACGGTTTTCCCAAATGTCATTTCGAATTTTGTCTGTGACTTTCTGAAAAGTCATTCCGTGTTGCGGCTATGGCTCCCTGAAAAGCCATTTCGGATCCCATTTGCATACCCATGTGTATCCCAGTCCGATATACGCGGAGCAGTATTTTCCGCGACGCGGCGGACGGCTTAAAAATAGAACCATTCAGATAAAAAACGGATTTCAGGTTTCCGAGCTTGGGCGGATTCAGTGAGGAATTACGATGATAATTAATCTGCTTATCTGGTTTAAAAAAACAGTGCTTTTAATATCACATTAGACATTGCAAGCAACGCGGCTTATATTTCACGAGCACCGCCCTTGCGGAGGGTTTTCCGTGCAACCATGCAGTTTTCACCGACTTGCAGAGGTGGCCAGTACAGCGGCTTGTCGAAGCCCAAAGCATGGCATTCTCTGGATGTCGAGACGGTCCCAGGGGGGGATTCCCACTGTGAATCGGATACGCGGGGAAGTACCTTGAGACCGGACAGGAATCGAGTTGAATGACGTGTCGAGTTGCAAGCAAGATGACTTATCAATATGGCCTTAAAAAGTCAAAAACACTGATGGGTTACGTGGTATGAGCTTCGACCTCGGACACAATTTGCCCGCATACCACGGCAAAAGTAGCCGGTAAAACGCACTGTGTGGTATGGGATGAGCGAGGCGCATCGTATCACATGGCCAGGCGCTATCAGGTAGACGTCAAAAACTAAGGTGATGGAGATGCACGCCCTCGTAGAACAACACCAACGGACCTGATCAAGAAGTTTAAGGTCCTTCGTTAGAGCTGGAGTGCCCTATTATGTGACGTGTAATGAGAGCTGAGACACATGAAGTTGGCTTAATTGGGGACAAGTGGTGGATTGCGCCAATATCGCCGACACCCCTGCAGGCATGTCTGCATTTCATGCTGATCTGATAACGCTTTGCACGCGGCCAGGGTGACGGATCCACGAGCCATCTGCCAGCAGTCGGCCTCAATTTACGTGGTCTGGCGACGACGCCGTCATCGGTCACCATCGGAGCGCCAGCCGCCGCCGCTGTCCGACGACGGGCCGCGAGAGAAGGCGCGCCGCTGCTACAAACGCCAAGAGAGATGAGGGGTAGGGATAGGGATAGAGACAGAGAGAGAGAGAGAGAGAGAGAGAGAGAGAGAGAGGGAGAGAGAGAGAAAGAGAGAGGAGAGAGAGAGAAAGAGAGAGAGACAGAGACAGAGAGAGAGAGGAGAGAGAGAGAGAGAGAGAGAGAGAGAGAGAGAGAGAGAGAGAGATATATATATATATATATATATATATATATATATATATATATATAGGAATAGGCAAATGGCAACGGGGCTGCCGCCCCCGCCATTGGAGGTTCAGAGTGCGGCCGCCGCCCTCGCCATTGGAGGTTCAGAGTGCGGCCGCCGCCCTCGCCATTGGAGGTTCAGACCGCGGCCGCCGCTCTCGCCATTAGAGGTTCAGACTGCGTTTTGGACAGGTATTTCCAGGGTGAGTCGTTGCTACCTGCTTGCGGGGAGTGCAGATGGGAATGCGGCCAGCAAAAAGCATCCGGGTACGGTGATTGAACAGTGCAGCACCAGGCGACAAACAATTTATTAATCATGGCGTAAAAGACGGCTGCCAAAGTGAGCAGTGGGATGGCAAATGTGGGGCTAGGTAGGACAATCGGCCAGATGGTACGCCCACAAGCGTACGCCACAACGCAAATTTAAGCGGAACTTCTCAAGCGTTTTGTCGCCCTCCCCGACCCTGGTTCGACTGAGCCAAAAGAAATTGCGTGCATCGTGAAATGACTTAACGGAGATTAACTTCCGTTGTGCAAGGCCTGCTCGTCTGAAAAACAACGTCTGGAGACTAAACTCAAATGGCAAGGGGTAAAGGGGTTGTCAGGGGTGTTCAAACACATGCTCACTTCCTGTCAGACGTGCGAAAATGTCCAAACGATATACCCATTTTTACACAAATCTGCTAGCATAGCGTCAGCGTGATGTTAGTTGTTTTCAGACATGACCCGAAACCTGCATATGAGTGTGTGAATGCAAGTATGCGTAAATGCTGACAATGCTAAAAAAGAGCACTTGGCATCGACGGAGAGGTCGGGCTAAAAATCAACTGAATAGGAACGTAGCACCGAGCATGACAGCCAGATCTGCTTCTCCGGGGGTGGTCTGAACTCTTCCCGCCAAGAGAGGCGCGAGCTGCGGCGCGCTGGCCGCCCTCACACACCGGCCCACCCGGCAAGGCCGTCCGAGCCGTCGCCGGCCGCCACCGGGCGCAAGATTAAAGAGTTCCGCAACTATTCGGGCATTATCTTTATGATGAAACTTGGGCGCGCGCCAGCTGAACCGGCGGTCCGGGGAGCATTGGACCTTGGCGGCCACGAGGCGCGCTCCGCAGGCGTTGACGGCATCGGGCGACAAACCCAGCCACGACATTCCGCTGTCGCAACAAGGAGTATGCCAGGAGATGTGAAATGCGCGAAAGCATGCGGCAGAAGTGTTCGTGAGCCATGAAGCTCTGTCGGGCTTGAGTGTGATGCCGTGTGGTGCGGCTGAAGGTCACGCCATCAGTTGAGAATGCCAGCAGGTCGGTGTGCTTTGTGGACTTCATTCATGCAAGAGAGAACATTCTTAGCATTGTCTCTATACTTTTATTCAAGATTACATTGCATATCAGTCGTACATACAATGCATACACAAAGCGAATATGCATGAAGAGTATTTCGCTTGTCCCTACCGAATTAGAAACCATGACAAGGGAAATGTATTGCACACCGCCCAGATTCAGAACATTTCAGAAAACAGACACGACTTGAGAGCGCAGGGAAGCCTCACGGAGCGCCCAAAGGAAACCGGTGCTAAACACACCATGCAACCACTAATCCAGTTCATTCAGTCAGCGTCGCGACATGCTGACTCCCACTGGCATGACCGCTATCATTAGTACGGGCAGTGAAGGCCTCTGAGGAGGGAGGGCGGGGGGGGGGTCGCTCCGCCCCTATCATTCTGAGAGCCGTAGGAGGCGGAGTAACGGCACTTTCAGCGTAGGTAGGTGGGTGCTATAGCGATCTATATTGTGCAAATTCATGCTCCTAACATATGTTGAACGTGAAATGTGGTTAAATACATAGAATTTCAAACATTGTGCGTGGCTCGGCTTTTCATCATTGTTCAGTGCTGTGATTGCTCAAATTAGACGAAATGGGACACGCCTTATTGTTGGATGATAAATGACACAATTACGATGTAACATGCATTTGGCCTAGGCCGCTAATAAATTAAAAGGCTACTATATACGGAATACAGTGCGTAATACGAAGGGAAAGCCGCAAAAGTGCGAACAAATTGTAGAACTAGGTGCTAACTACCGAGAACCAACATCGACCTAGCATGAACTCGACTAGAACTGACCTTTAACCAGTGACTCAGAATGCCCTTGGCATAGCAAGAGACAGCAATATACTAACAAGTCGCCAATTTTGCCAGAAACATCCTTTGCAGCAGACATGTTGGCAGTGTATCAGCACCAACCTCCGCGTCCTGACGCTGACTACGTTGTTGACTTCGCCAGCCTTAATTTCTAGTTGTCCGATAGAGTTGTTTTTGCTGTGCCTTATGTGACGTGCTGGTGCTTTATTCGATAGAAAAAGATACAGTTCGGCCCATTCATTCCGGCGATTTTCACGAAAAGCCCAAGCGTGCGGATTTGCCCCCCCCCCCCCCCTCCACCCCCTCCACTGCGTTTAATAATAATCCAGCGTTTTGCGCTCTCAGCCAAGACGCTATTGGACTCGACTTCCACACATACATTTCGCGGGGTCAAAGCTCATGCGCGGCGCCGGCGCCAGCTTCCCGAGGCCATCGAAGTGAAGGGGCAGCACCTGAGAGCACCCAGGGGGCCCATTTCCTGCGGCCGGACCACCTCGCATAGCGTCCAGGAACACAGCCAGCCGGCAAGGTAAGCCGGCCCGGGGATCAACCGAATCCGATCTCCACACCACCTGTCGTCCCCTTCGCCCTCGTCACAAACGCATACAGACTATTCTCATGCGGGCCGCGACTCCACAATTCGGCGTCAAAACCCGATCTGCGTCATCGTGTGGAGCCGCCGGCCGCCAGTCACATGCCTTCCCTGCGACCAGGCGCGGTGTTTCCCTCCACGCCGCCGGTGGGGAGCCCGTGATCCCCGCCACCCCGGCGAGCGTGCTCAGCCCACGCGTTCGCCCGGACACACAGCTCAGTCTCGACTTGCTAACACAGACCCGCAACCCCCAACTTCTGAACTCGTCGGCCGCCGCTCACCGTCTGATACTCTCCGGCGCTCGGTGACACTACGACACTTGTGCCGCGACTAATCACTCCACGCCCCGCCATGGTAGTCCACGATCTTCAGCGACCGTCTTCGAGGCTCCACGAAGCCGCCGGACTCCACGACACCTGACGATACGACGGATACGAAGGCATTTACTCGCCACACCTCTACTCCGCATTGTCGGCAGTGGAATCCGTTTTCGGACGGACGTAAATCTCTTCGTCGACGCCGTCCGCCTGGGCAGCGGCGCGTGCCACCGTGAATAGGAAATCCCCCAATCTGAAAGAGGCGGAGAAGACGACGTAACGGCCCGGCAATATCATCCTCAGCCAACGTGAAAATGTGGTGTCGGAAAACTGAGGGCGGCGAGGGGAGAGACGAGCTGAATGGAGACGACACTCATAAAGAGAGAAGAGGGATGGAAGGGGAAGACGAGGCATATAATGAAGGAAGAGAATTAAGCGGCATGTGAAATTCACAAAAATAGAATAATTACAACATGTGCCACACCGTGCCGCAGCAAACAGACAGGGCAGCGGCATCAGCGTGGCAGACTGGCACAATGTCATGCAATAAATATGGTGTTTATTTCCGCAAAAGAAAGCTGCTAACGCCGTGGGAATAGAGCTTGCGCACCATTTGATGCCACTTATAAGCTACAGGGATTTTGAAATATCATGAACGCTCCGGTAATGCTGCGTTCTGTTGGGCTTCCACGGTAGCCAAAACAAACACGTGGAGCACAATCGCACCGTTGGATACAGCGAGATTCCAGCTCCAGCACACCATTCTTCACATAGCTCCCACCCCACGCACGACAAATACATTTTCGCCAGCAATGGGCAAAACCTGCATGGTACGTTCATAAGAATCTGCACCGACAGAGGTGTCCCACTTTGTCAGATGATCTTTATTTTTGGGTGTTATGGTACTGAACGGCAGGTTGGCGAAATGGCCTCTAACATGAATTTAAACATGAAGCGGAGAAGTGACAGTAAATTTCTCAAAAGCTAATGGACGCGATTTTTCGCTCGGAGAAACTCAGCGACACATCATCTGGTAGCTTTTCACATGTCCACTGTCTCTTGCCCACATGTCTTCAGTCCCCGCCCAGGTGCCCCGTCCTACAAACGCAGATGTCTGCTGCACCCCGCCCAGGCGCATACAGTCCCCCAGTCAGGTGATCCCCCCATATATATATATATATATATATATATATATATATATGTATGGTGTTATACATATCATATATATGGTGCTATATATATTGTATATATATATATATATATATATATATATATTATCCCTTCTTTGGTCTAGACGTCTACGGCTCCCGCCCAGGTGTTCACCGCCCTGTGCCCGGACACATGGTCCCCGCCAGGTATCATCTGTCCACTGTCCAGACGTCTGCGCCCCCCCCCCCCCCTCCCCTCCCCCAGGTGTTGCCGCCCGCCCGCCCAAACAACCCCTTCTCCTGCCCAAGTCTATGGATTCTCTCCAGGTGTTCCGTCCCGTGACCAGGCACATAATCCCTGCTCAGGTCGCCCGTCCCCTGCCCAGGTGTTCCTCGTCCCCGCCCATATACCCTACCCCGTCCTCTTCCCAGACGTCTACGGTCCCCAGCCCAGCTGTCCCCACTCGGCGTCCTCTGCTCCGGCGGCGCATCGACCACCTCGCTCCACCAGCGCGAGGCGGGGCGGCATGGCGACCCTGACACATGTCGCCGATGTAGGCCGGCGCGGCTGCAGCTCGGCTTTCGGGTCGGAGCGGCGCACGCGGACCTTGTCCCCGATGCGGCGGCGGCGGCGGCGGCGCGGCCCGCACACGCAGGCGGCACGCGGCTCTGATCGATGGCCGGAGCGGTGTGCGATCGGCCGCCGCCGCTGCCGCCGCCGCCGCCGCCGCTGTCCGTCGCCTGGCGGACCACCGTAATGGGCATCGATTGAGGCGGGGCGCGATGAGAGTCCGTGAGACGTCAGTCTTCCGTCGATCAGACCAGCAGCGGACTGTCCGGAGAGGCACGCCGCGTGTCCGGCCGTCCAGCCGCCAGCGGCAGCACGCGCACACACCGACACACACACACACAACGGCAGCCAACGAACAAGAGCCAGGGCGTGCTGGCCGCGTGGGCGAACTGTCAGGCAATGTCGTATGCTTTCCTTTGTCTCCGTTACTGGAACATTACGCTGACACGAACAGTCTGTTTTAAGCCACGCGCTACACACGCGAGACTAAGCCAAAGGCAGGGAGTGTCAAATGGCACTGGTGTTGCGAAAGATCATGTTCTGGGGAAGCACCGCAGGAACGCCAACCAATCAAGCGGCGAGGGGTACAGCACCACTAGCGAAATTCGCAACGCAGCTGGCGATATACACTTATCACACTTGACATTTCGCGGTCTGAATGACCACTCAGGCCCTGCAATCGAATTTCTTTAGAACCATCCACTAGTTCGCCACTTCAGAGAACGAATTCGACCAGCGTGCCGTAACAGGACCCCGCTTCATCCTGGATGCCCACAGCAATTTCCGACCGTAGTTTTGGACTGGGAGCTTTCATATGGGCTTTGATTAGCATCTGGATGCGCCTGACATGACATGACAGGTTGACCTCCATAAATAGTAATAACTTGCACTGTACGAGTACAAAATGGGTGCCTACGCGTTTCTCGCCTGCGATCTAATCTCTTCTTGGTTGTTTCTATGACATGTGGTGACAATAGGTCGCGTGGAAGCTATGTTTGGTGCATGCATTATTGTAGTATATCATGACGTAATTTGCATTGAGTCAGTTGAGATCTGGTAGCTGGGCGACTCGCCGCGCGCGGGCGTGTTTTTGTCGCAGCCTTGGACGAAAGTTCGCTCTCCATTGGATTGGATTCGGCGGCGATAGAACCTATCTCAGACTTCGTGGCTTCGTGGCTTTGTGCATCACTTCATCCTGTCGTCTTTTCAGTTAACGTCATTCAGTGTCAGTTTACCTTTCGTCATTTGTGGACACTACGGTTATATTGTGACACTGTTTTATGTTGAATGCCATTGATTTTGAATTGCCTAATTATGCTTTGTGTCGCAAGTTATCATTCAGATGCCAGTGGGAATGAAGGCGGTATCTGACGTTGCATAATTCAATGTTTCGAGGGCTCACAGTCACTGTCTCCGGCCAGAATGATGCGAAGATGACACGGAGATGATACGGAGATGACAATGGGATGATACCAAAATAGTGCGGAGATGGTGCGGAGATGATACGGAGAGGATATGGAGATGATACGGAGATAGTATAGAGATGAGACGGAGATGGAGCGGATAAGACGGCAAGAAAAATGCATCTAAATGGATAACCCGGAGAAGAGTTTCTTCAACACAATTACAGCGTCGCAAGGTACGTTAAAAGACAGACACCACCGGTAAGGAATTTTGAGTGAGAGCGTCTCGGAGTGATGGGAGAGCGCCTCGGAGTGATGGGGGGGGGGGGGGCGGGTACTTAACGAACGGTAGAGACTCAGGAATCGCCAGAACCCAGAGCTCTCCAGATGGAGACCCGGAACTCGCAGGCTCACAGATCTCACCCTTCAGTAGCCGGCTGGAGGCCCCGGACAAATCGGGTGGAGGCGTGGGGCCAGCCGGGTTTGGCGCATTGTTCACAGCAAGGCGAAGAGCGTACGCCTGGAGGTGTAATAGGCAACTCGAGGTGCAATAGGCAAGCGCAGGCAGCTTAGAGGCTAGTACTTTGCGTGTAGCCGTTGGATATTGTAAGAGCATGTTGAGCGTATCATTTACCCTGACGGATTTAACGTAATTCTGAAGCTTTTTCCGCCGAAACCTTAGCAACAGTGCTTGTTGAAGAAAGTAATGAAATTGTCAGATAACCCGGATACGTTGTGCAGGCAATATCGTACAAAGTTGGCCGCTCGTTAATGACACGCAAGTGTTTTACACAATTGCCGGCTTGTTTCCTGACTGATGCCTTCATTGTGTTATACATTTTGTAGTGGTCAGTACAAAAATTATACATATAGTGAGGAAGGGGGTCACTTAAATTGACTGGTGGGATCCGATGAGGTTGAATAAACCTACCCCCAAGACCTGATTTCTCCTCGGATTTCGTCCACTTCAAAATTGAACTTGTACGACCTTCTCAACGGAAATATTGATACCTGAAAAGCTAGAATAGCTTAAGACTGGCGGGGTCTCCAGTGCTGGCTGCCTTAAAAACAGCTCGCCAGAAGCTCTGATACACGCGTTGGATGTTGATATAAGCCTATTAGGCCTTGAATCTTTGTGGTCCTGGGTGATGAGTCGGGGTTTCTCACGTTAAAAAATTAACATTAAGTATGCCGGAGGGTGGCAATTAAACGACGTTACCAAAACGAATTGGGTAGGAATGCGAAACTCGACGTTTCGAAGCTGTGCTCATGGTCAGATTTATTCGCAAAGGTTGATCAATACCGCCCCCATAATTACTCCACTCAAGAATGCATTGCACAGAACGTTTTGATTCCACCCCTCGGCATCGGAACCTTACGACGTGCCCAGCGGCTGGGGATAGGTGGCGCCGCCTGCTTCTCATCCCGGCAAAAAGGGTGGGTATGGCGGAGAATCGAACCCCGTACCTCTGGTTTCTGGACACACAGCTTAAGCACTGCACTGCCGGTAGCACGATTCCATTCCTCGACACCATTTTTGTGGTACAACCAGGTGGGAGATACACCGCTGAACCGCTAAATATCGACCAGTCACATAAGAAACGCACTTAAATGGTTCTGACGCAGGGTTAGAGGCCACCACGCACGCTCTGCCTGTAGTGGGCGCATTACAACTCCGCAAACCCAGTGGTTGCTACAGGCGCGTTCCATCGGCGGATAAGCTCTGGAAGTTATTCGGAATGTTGGAGACATTGTCCGGAATGGCATTCGGCAATGCTGATAAGGGCAACTATCCCAGATAATTTCCCGTTGCGAGGCAGAACCTTGGAAAAGTTTTCAGAGCACGGTCCAGACGGAGCATCTTTTTCGCTACGCACGGCTTTAACCGCTGATTGTGCATGGCGCATGGGAGACAAGCCTGAGGGGCAATTTCCGGCTCTGCCGAGCGTAAATTTAGAATCTCCGTGCTTGATTACAGGAAGAATACTTGTTTGTTGAAAAAGTTTTCCCTTGGCTGAACACGCCCTAAAAAACGGTCTATATATCACAACTGGGGAGAGCGGTGCGTACAGCTTCTGATCCTGAATCGCGTACACGCAGACGCGATGAAGCGTCCCTTCTTTTCCGTGAGAACGAAGACACGGATACATGAGTGAGGCCTCCCGATTGTGCTCCAAATTATCGGTTTAACGAAACATTAGGCTCGCAAAGACGTCGTAGAAAGGTGAAATAAGCGGACTGTGTCTGTATGAAATCACCGTTAACATAAGATGGCCCGGATAAACGTTAACCATGTTTCGCTCAACAGCAGCAAGTGTATTTCTCGCACAATCAAGACAGCGGTGGCATTAGAATGGCATTTCAATGGCAAAACGTGGCAAAACGCAGCATTCGTCATCAGCTACCTCACATTCGTCACCTTATGACTCTACAAAGGATATCTCTGAGAACGAGAGCGAGTACCTAGTCATCAACACGAGAGCGCTGCATCGTTACCGCCAAGATGCCCTTCTGGACGGCCATGAAGCCCATTTCTGGGTGGACAACCGGCCGGCCAAAGGACTCCGTGCAGCAGGTTCAGCTGTTGCGCATCCCAGGCTGCCAGGGCGCCACCAGGAGCACCTTTTGCTGTCTCGATTTGACGAGTATAGAATCGCTGATGACCACCGCTATCACTGGACATGTGTTGCCATTCATTTGACAGTAGAATGCCACCACAGGCACGATTGTGCGACAAATAAGCTTGCCGCTGCTGAGGAAAACGTGGGTTAACTTTGATCTGGGTCATCCTATACTTAAAAAATCTGCCGCATGTTGCAGGCAATTGTTATTTACCCCAATATACGTGTTCTCATGTGGAGATCTTGTCAATATTTGCAGGAAGGCCAGACATGTCGAGTTTGCATGACATTAACGTTAGGTACCTGCAGGACACTATTCGGTACAAACGGAACATGCTACTGATAGTGTATGCGTCTGGGTACCTAGCGCAACCGCTGCGCGAGAACTGCTCTGTATTTCTTAGGCCAGGTATTCCTTTTTTGGTCATATGCATTGAGGGGTCTCATGAGAGAATTGGGGGAGGCTGAAGTCAGCATTCAGGGGTACTCGGACCTGCCCCAATAGTACAAGAAGACGCTTCTGACAGTGAGCGTTAGGCGCGGTTGTCAGGGGCGTCTTTTCATATTGGGGGCCATGAGTGAGGAGTCATATTCTTGCTGATATCTTATCATATCCCGCTGATATTCTTGCTTGAGACGTGTGAAAAAAATGGGGGGGGGGGGGTGCAACAAATAACTCTGATGGTGGAACCATACCTGTATAAACCAGGGCTGCATCCACCTGTCCTTATCTGGAAGACGTGCGCATATCCGAAATGACTTCTGAGCCTCAGACAATAGGGGTCATAAATCACTCGATCAGTGGATCCTGGAGTCTGATTTCGTCGTCCGTCGATATGCACACGGACGGAGGACGGTACCTTCTCCATCGAAAAATTAGCTTCTTCTTGACTGATCATCTTGATCATGATCTTGACATCGTGTTATTTCATGGGTCCATTTAATGTCATCGTATGATGATTACCAAGTACCGCCATCTTGGACAAACATGGGCTGTCCAAAAACATACCAGTGTTTTAGAGCTCACGTCGGACTAAATAACTAACTCGTCAAAAAATCGCAGACCAGTCCCTTGTCACGATGCACCATCGCCCCGATCGACGACGGGCCCGTGACCTCATGCTGGCTTGGTAGCGGGCTGCGCTCCGTTTTAGCGTTCCCGGCAAATGGGCCAACCGATATCGACAGCTGATCTGGAGTGGCGACCCTCTCCCGCCCGGAGACTGCAGCTAGACCGCGGCCGAAAACCTGGCGACGGTCACCTTCGCGACCATCGGAGCCGCTCGGCCCCGCGCTGCCGGTCTTATTGGGTGCAGCGCAGGTCACGGACTATTCTAGTCCATTTCGACCGAGGCCGGCCGGCGGTTCTAGCCAGACCCGAGCGCCGCCACCGATCCGAGGACAGCCGCCGCCTCCGCCCGCAGACTGACACCGGCATCGCCGTCCGCCGCCGCAGTTTCATTCCATTCCATTTCATTCCCGGCCGGCATTGGACCCGCCTTCCAATCCGGGCAGCGTTCACCAGAGAGGCGGCGTGTCGCGCGACCCCACCTGAAAGGCGGCGGCGCTGCGGCGAGTCAAAGAGCCGGCTTCGCACCTCGTCCCGCTTCATTTGCTCGGGACCGAAACAGTTCCGGCCTCCGGCCGGTCCCATTAAACTGTCACGCCCAGTCGCGGCCGGCCGCCGGCGGCCGACGGCGCATCCGAGTCAACAGGAGAGCGCGCGAGCGGCGGTCGGCGCCGCCTGGGGGCGGCCGTCACGAGCGGGGCGGGGCCCTCTCCTCGGAGATAATGTGCCCCGCGTGGAGCGCACGTCAGCCGCCTCTCGAGCCTTCTCAGGTCCGGTCGATGCCCACCTGGAATGGTCGATACCCGGGGAGCGGGCGGCCAGTCCCGCAGGCGCGCCCAGCAAAGGTCGCCGCCGCCGCCGCCCGGGACAGGAAGCCGCGCATTTCCGGCCGCCGCACCGCTCCGAGGGGCCGTGCGCCGAGCCCGCTCCGTGGCCGGGCTCCGACCGAAGCAAAGGTTCGGTTCGGTTCAGTTCGGTTCGGTTCGGTTCGGTTCGGGTTCGGGTTCGGGTTCGGGTTCGGGTTCGGGTTCGGGTTCGGGTTCGGTTTGGTTCGGCCTCGGCTTCGGCTTCGACTTCGACTTCGACTTCTACTTTACTTTGACATCGAGTTCGAGTTTGAGTTCAGGCCTGGGTCGGGGTTGAGTCATAGTCTGGCTCCAGTCCAGTCCAGCCCGGTCCAGACACCTGGTGTATCGTGTCAGATTGGATCAGATCGGCGGCGCGTCGAGCCGCTGTTACCTGTTGAGGTAGACGGCGACGCTGGGGTCCACCTCGCCAACCCTGGTGAGCGGAGTCAGGGCCCGCTCAGCCCGCCGGCAGACGGTGCGTGCCAGGTGAAGCGTGGCGCTCGCCACCCCGCCGCCCTGAAACACACCAGCACCTGATACCGCCGCCTGAAACACACCAGCACCTGATACCACCGCCCTGAAACACACCAGCACCTGACACGGAGCCGAGAAGCACCGACGGCAAGCGAACCGATACCACCGCCCTGAAACACAACAGCACCTGACAGAGAGCCGAGGAGCACCGACGGCACGCGAACATGAAACACACCAGCACCTGATACCGCCGCCCTGAAACACACCAGCACCTGATACCGCCGCCCTGAAACACACCAGCACCTGATACCGCCGCCCTGAAACACACCAGCACCTGACAGAGAGCCGAGGAGCACCGACGGCACGCGAACCTAAAACACACCAGCACCTGATACCGCCGCCCTGAAACACACCAGCACCTGACAGAGAGCCGAGGAGCACCGACGGCACGCGAACCTGAAACACACCAGCACCTGATACCGCCGCCCTGAAACACACCAGCACCTGACAGAGAGCCGAGGAGCACCGACAGCACGCGAACCTGAAACACACCAGCACCTGATACCGCCGCCCTGAAACACACCAGCACCTGATACCGCCGCCCTGAAACACACCAGCACCTGATACCGCCGCCCTGAAACACACCAGCACCTGACAGAGCGCCGACGGGCACCAACGGCGTATGGACTAACCCCAGAAACTTGGCGTCATTTATCAAGCAAGTTTGAGATCAAAGTCGGTGGTAGTTAGTGCACCTCATCGTCGCTAAGGCACGATGTCTACGCACGGCCATAATTTGGGACGCCCTGAGGCGGGTACAAATCGTTTCCCATGTTACCCAAAACCGGTACGGCTGCCTGGTCTTTCGGCATACGAGGCATATTTCGGGATACTGCAGGGCACCTTATCTAACCCCTCCGCTTCCAGCCCTCATCAGCAGCTCTCTAACACGTCGACCAAAGCATGTATACGGCCGGCTGGGACGCTACCTGTCGGGTTTCATTAACGTTTTCAGCCATTTAATTTCTGAAAATGGGCGCAAACATCCTGTCCCAAGCGCGTCCACAGCCCTGCGTGCTCAGAATAGCACGCCCACAGCTCCGGGCTATGGTGCAACCCTGACCGACGCCAACGCCCAACACGGTAACACCTGACTGACGCCAGCGTTCCACATGGTAGCACCTGGCTGACGCCAACGTCCAACATGGTAGCACCTGACTGACGCCAACGTTCCACATGGTAGCACCCGACTGATGCCTGACTGACGCCAACGTCCCACACGGTAGCGCCTGACTGATGCCCGACTGACGCCAACGTCCCACACGGTAGCACCTGACCGACGCCTGACTGACGCCAACGTCCCACACGGCAGCACCTGACTGACGCCCTGCCTACGGCGCATCAGCCGTTGACGGTGTGTTCGGTAGTAGGCGGCTCGGGCCTGCCCAGCGTGATGCCAGACACAGTTGGACCCCGTGCCGCCGCCTCGGCCGAGCGGGGCCGGCACCAGGTGGCGCCAGCGGGTCCCGGGGGTGAGGCGACGGTCGACCCGTCCCAGCGGCAAGCCTCTTATAACGTCAAGCCGCGGCGCTTGGACAGGTTAGCTGTGCCCACGAGACGCGCGCCTGAAGGCTGGGCAAACTGGCGCTGTTCCAAACATGGCGCATGCCGTCTGGGATGTCTGGATCAGGTGCGCTCCGAACGTGGGTTTTTACACGTTAAAACTCGGCATACACGTTCGCGAATGGCTCGCTTTCATGAACGACAGAGACGTCAACAGGCCATACGTCATGTGGCCTTATATGACCTTATTTGACCTCACATAACCTGATATTTGGGTACATTTTTCTTAAACAGCGTTCGAAGCTTTCGCGCAAGTGTTTTTACCAATAAGTGTACGTAAAACATTACAGAAAACACACGTTGGAAAAAGCAAATGACCTGAAAATGTCTACTTTCAAAGTCATGAACAGGACTTTTAGTTGCATTTCTCCAGCCGAGCCGGGTATTCATATTGAGCCTCCGAACTACTCAGAAAATTTTGAGAACACTGGCATTACCGAGAAAATCGGACACGTCTGATCATACAATGAGTGAAAAGCAAGGTGGAATACTTCCTTTAAGCGTTGTTAACAGGGGTGTGCGTACGCACACACGCACAAAGAGATACAGAGCACAACACCAGAGGCGCAAGCACGTAGCCTTAGAGAGCGTGTCCTCTCTTAAGCAAACGCATGGTAAGGATTTAAATGTACATGACGTACATTTCAAAGTGACGAACAAGTGGATTAAAAATATCGTTACAAATATGATAAAGAACATGCAACGTTGTTTTACGACACGCAGGAGATCAGATGCGTCTCCGGCACGGCAAACTAGGTTTTCAGAGACAATTTCTCAGCTGTGCTCACCCGTCATTTGTGAAAAAGCACCAGGGATTAGTTAACGGAGCGAAGATTAGTTGTATTGTCAACACTGGACGTCTCAATTAATTGTCAATGCTCGTCAATAGTTGGAGGCTCATGGTCTCGAGTGACCATGAGCACAGCTTGCAAGTCTAGCTGGACACGTCAAGGCTTGGTGGCGAGCGCAAGGCCAAAGACCACTGCCGAAACCCAGCGCTGTTTTGGACACACGGAGGTCTCGGACAACAGCATAGTCGTAAAATTAGCACGGCTTAAAACGTCGAGTGCCGATAGTACAACCGATGATTGCCTCCAAACAGCTTTTAACCAGTACCTGCTTGTCTAATGAAGGTCGATTATCGTCAGCATAACATTTCTGAACACATTTTCCGCATTAGGGAGCCAATTAACTCTGTGGTGAGCCTACCTCAGGTTTTATGGCTAGTGTTTTATGCGCCCTCTCTCATCTAAGCTTTTCAGGATATTGTACACTGCCGACAGAGACAAGCCCATGTCCCCAAAACAGCACTGGATGTAGGCCACAAGTGGTTTAGGCGAGCTTTGTCACCAAGTCTCGAGCAGCCTGCTTCAATGACGATGCGGAGTAAAAGTTTAGAGCATCTAACGATGCCATGCTTAAAGATGAATTTGAAGCTATTTGTATCGAGTTTAATGATAGCTAATGATCACCACCCATTAACCAGATTTTGTTACTCGTCTCAAACTCTCTGATGCCCACTCTGTTAAACTCTGTTACCCTACGACACCATCTCAGTTGGTCATTGCTCAGCTGATGTGATTGACGAGTGGTCAGCCGGTGACCGACCACGTCGGCCGCGGCTGGCGACGGTCCCACAGCACAGCCCCAGCGGCTTCAGCTTGCAGCTGGGACCAGACAGCCCCGGCAGACTGTCCCACAGCCCCGGCGGCTTCAGCCTGCAGCTGGGACCAGACACAGCCCCGGCGGCTTCAGCCTGCAGCTGGGACCAGACACAGCCTCGGCAGACTGCCCCACAGCACAGCTTCAGCGGCTTCAGCCTGCAGCTGGAACCAGACACAGCCCCGGCAGACTGCCCCACAGCACAGCTTCAGCGGCTTCAGCCTGCAGGTGGGACCAGACACAGCCCCGGCAGACTGCCCCACAGCCCCAGCGGCTTCTGCCTGCAGCTGGGACCAGACACAGCCCCGGCAGACTGCCCCACAGCACAGCCCCAGTGGCTTCAGCCTGCAGCTGGGACCAGACACAGCCTCGGCAGACTGTCCCACAGCCCCAGCGGCTTCAGCCTGCAGCTGGGACCAGACACAGCCCCGGCAGACTGCCCCACAGCACAGCCCCGGCGGCTTCAGCCTGCAGCAGGGACCAGACACCGCCTCGGCAGACTGTCCCACAGCCCCGGCGGCTTCAGCCTGCAGCTGGGACCAGACACAGCCCCGGCAGACTGTCCCATAGCACAGCCCCGGCGGCTTCAGCCTGCAGCAGGGACCAGACACCGCCTCGGCAGACTGTCCCACAGCCCCGGCGGTTTCAGCCTGCAGCTGGGACCAGACACAGCCCCGGCAGACTGTCCCACAGCCCCGGCGGCTTCAGCCCGCAGCTGGGACCAGACACAGCCCGGCAGACCGTCCCACGGTACAGCCCCAGCGGCTTCAGCCTGCAGCTGGGACCAGACACAGCCCCGGCAGACTGCCCCACAGCACAGCCCCAGCGGCTTCCGGCGGCTTCAGCCTGCAGCTGGGACCAGACACAGTCCCGGCAGACTGTCCCACAGCCCCGGCGGCTTCAGCCTGCAGCTGGGACCAGACACAGTCCCGGCAGACTGTCCCACAGCCCCGGCGGCTTCAGCCTGCAGCTGGAACCAGACACAGCCTCGGCAGACTGTCCCACAGCCCCGGCGGCTTCAGCCTGCAGCTGGGACCAGACACAGCCTCGGCAGACTGTCCCACGGTACAGCCCCAGCGGCCTCGGCCTGCAGCTGGGACTAGACACAGCCTCGGCAGACTGTCCCACAGCCCCAGCGGCTTCAGCCTGCAGCTGGGACTAGACACAGCCTCGGCAGACTGTCCCACAGCACAGCCCCGGCGACTGCAGCCCGCAGCTGGGACTACAAACCGCCCCGGCAAACTGCCAGGACAAGCCAATGGCTGAATACCGGTAACCGACAGGATCATGCCCCGTGGCTAGCGCACACTCCCCTTGTATTTCACTCGAACCTTCATCTGCACGCCACCAAAGAGCACACCCGTTCTGGCAAAGCTCGGTGGTGAAGGTTTGGGCCGGGAGAGGAACAGACAGTCCCGTCGCAGCTTCAGCTCTAGGTGATCCTCTGATACACAAAGGACCTCCCGACCGCCACGTGTGACGTCAATTCCGAATCGAAACGAAATCCAGCGCCCGTTTAATTTTAGCGCGAACACGAGCTGCAGGGAGGGGCCGGCAAGCATCAACGCGGCACAAGGCGGACTGCCACGCCCTAGTCTGACACGCCGGTGATAACCCCGATACCGGCAGACCTCGACGCAGCAATAACGTTTTACCGCTCTGACGTATTGATCGCTTGTGATCCCCGACACCCGGCACTAGCTTCATGGTAACACAACGCCACCCTGTTCCATGCCACCGCCGGCGGACGGAGCCGG